TCAACAGAGTTCTTAATTACTCATGAGATATCATTTTTTTAAACTTTTTTTTGGGGGGTTGCAGTTACAGGTAGTTCTAGTGAGATTGCGTAGCTGAATCTCTAGTGAGATTTGCTAGCTAAAGGATCCAGCCTGCTGTCTTATCCTCATCATCCCTGCCACTTCATCTCATCTTCCCAGAATACTTTTGCCCTCTCATTGTTTGGTGTGCTTGGCTTTTGGCTTCCTGGTGTAGGCCTCATGTGGCCACCCACACTCATGATTATTTTCCAGAGATAACTTTTGTTACTCATTTCTGAGGTACTAGTGCCAGAAGTAGCTCTATCAGTTATAGAAATCTAAAAATTTCAAAACAGTAAATAGCTTTAACAACAAATACTGGTAGCTGTGCCTCATCAGCTTCATTTCTTTATCCTTCAGTGACTGCAAGTATTTTAGGTAGTGAAAACAAACCCCTCACTCTTCACCTTCTAATCACTCAGTCATTCAACTAGTGTTTATTACGCACCTACAGTTTGCCAGACAGGCACTGTGCTAAGTGCCAGGGGTACAAAGAAAAGCTAAAGACAGTCACTCAAGGAGCTCATGGTGCAGTGGGGGGAGATGACATGCAAACAATCAGGTACAAATAAGATGTATATACAAGATAAATTGGAGGTAATCTACAGAGGGAAGGCACTAGCATTAAAGATTCTTATAGAAGGGTTTCAGCTGGGATTTGAAGGAAACCAGGAAGCAAGAGATGAAGGGGGAGTGTATTCTATGCATGGGGGATGGCCAGAGAAAATGTAGTGTCTTGTTCATGGAACAGCAAGGAAGCCAACATCACTGAAAGGGTAGGTGGAGGGGGGAGTAAGGTATAAGAAGACTGAAAAGGTAGGAAGGAGCCAGATCATGAAGTGCTTTAAAAGTCCAACAGGGTTTCATCCTAGAGGTAATAGGGAGCCACTGGGCTTTATTGAATAGAGGGGTGATAGAATCAGACCTGTGCTTTTAGGAAGATCACTGTGGCAACTGAGTGGAGGATGGACTTGAGTAGGGAGAGATGTGAGGCAGGGAGACCAGCCTCAGCAAGCTACTGTTCTAGTCCAGAAGTGGAGTGATGAGGGCCCACATGAGGAGAGGGAATGCAGCAGAGAGGACTTGGCCAGAGATGAGATATGGAGTGGAGCAGGGTGTGAGGGAGTTTCTGAGCCTGAGTGACTGGGAGGATAACAAATGAACGTGACCGTGATTCTGTAACACGTTGCCAGCGTCACATTGTGACCTACGTGGTGTGGTCCTGATGGTGCTACAACAACTGTTAGGGGCACCAGAGGGGAAATGTTGGAGGGGCTCCAAAAATAACCCAGAGGCAGAGGGATTGGCAGTCAAAGCATCCTTGTTCTGCCATTTATTGCTTGTGACATTTGTGTGAATCACTCTCTGAGCCTCAAGTTTCTTCATCTGTAAAATAAGAGAGTTAGACAGGATGATCCTTAAGATTCCCTCCAGCTCAAAATCTGATTCTCTGACTTGTCTGCCAGGAATATTTTCCCCAATGGCTTGCCCAAAGCATCTGAAATTCCTATCGTTTGGTTCAGTCCTGTGTATATCACTTAGGAAGAGTAACCCTTCAAGTCATTTGCTCTTACCTATGGCGTTTGTAGCTAGCTGCTACTTTGGAAGACCAAGGAGCTGGTTTTTGAGTTGCTGAGACATTGAAATAGTGCAATTTTGTTGGAGTAAGGAGAAGTGACTTCAAAGTAAGGAATACTTGGGTTCAAATCCTGCCTTCAATAAATACTGGCTGTGTGATCCTGGGCAAATCATGCAACCTCTCAGTTCTCTGAGCAGCTGCAGAGAGATGTGCCAGGCTGCATTGACAAAGGGAGTTTCCTTGTCTGGTGTTCTATATGTCAGTGAAATCATAGGTCCACTTCCTATGTCTGTCCTTAAGAAAGCAGAGTAATATGGACTTAGTAGATAGGATGCTGGACTTGGAGTTGGCAAGACATGGATTCAGTAATGCTTCTGATACTTTGTGTGATAAGTTGTAAGTTATTTCTTTAATCTTTGGGCGACTCTCTCAGATTTACCTACTGGGTTAGAGATGGATGTAAACGAATCTTCAGTTTTTCAGGCACAATGACCTAAGTTTGATAGGGGTGGGGTTGGTTGCATAATAAGATCAGGTTTGGTTGGGGTTTCACATTTGAGGATTGTAGTCCTCCAGAGAGCAGTGTCAGATTCACCTGGTGAAAAGAAGAGAAAAATAGTTTACTATGTGCTGGGCACTATGTTAAGTACTTTTACAAATATTGTCTCATTTGATCCTCACAACAACCCTGGGAGGTGGGTGCTATTATTATCACCATTTTATAGTGGGGGAGACAGAGGTTAAATGACTTGTTCAGGGCTATACTACTAGTAAGTGCCTGAGGCTGGATTTGAACTCTGGTTTTCCTAACTCAAGTACCACCTTGCTACCTTAGGAGTAGAAGGAGTAGAGGACATCAGGCAGTAGCAAAGTTAAATGCTCTTATCTTAGCAGTTTTCTCTCAGGATAAATGAAGAAAATTGGACTTTTCTGGGCCTGTCTGGTACTAGAGTAGGTTCTCTGTAACCAATGTGCCCATGTCAAAGGCCTTAGGTCCTAAAGCAGCCTAAGTCCTCACCTAAGTATGGAACAGATAGAAACTGTAATTTACAGTGATTCTCCTCCCAGAATGACCCAGCCTTCAAATCCAAGGGTCTACCTTGGAATGATTTCTCTTGAGTGCCAAGGAGCAGATGCTAAAAGACTCTGAGACTTCTTTTGTCTGGACTCCCACCTCTAAGGTGATTTAGGAATATCCCATAGCTATTTAGGGTGCAGAACTGTGAACCAGTAGACCCTTCTTCAGCGTTGTTGTAAAACGGGTGGGGAACCTGAGGCCACGAAGGCACATGTGACCCTCCAGGTCCTAGAGTGCAGCCCTTCAAACTTCACAGAACAATCTATTTGGAGTTTGGATTTGGTCAAAGGGCTGCCCTTGAGGACCTAGAGGGTCACATGTGGCCTGGAGGCTGCAGGTTCCCCACTCCTATTGCAGAGACTTGTACCTGGGGATAGGAGGCAGTTAGTGGTCATCGCTGTTCTTTAGACATTCTTTGGGACATCATTATTTGAAATGTTGCTCCAACTTTTCAGCGTATTGCTTCTGGTTATCCAGCTAAAACATACTGCTTCATAAGAAGATGCCTTGACTATGCTAGTGGCATCAACTAATTAAAATTTTGTATACATAATTTGTTTTTTCTTTGTATTTAGTTTCTGTATTTCTCTAGGCTTTAATATATTCAATAACCAGATGATAAAAAACTGGGGAAAAAATTAAATGATTAAACAATTCAAAAAATCTTGTTTCTTGACTATGCCTTTGAAAAGAATTAAGACCCAGGGCAGCTAGGTGGTGCAGTAGATAGAGCTCTGGCCTTAGAGTCAGGAGGACCTGATTTCAAATCTGGCTTCAGACACTTGACACTTACTAGCTGTGTGACTCTGGGCAAGTCACTTAACCTTGATTACCTCACTGAAAAAAAATAAAGACAAGAAAAGAATTAAGACCCACCTCAAACCATAGTATGTTGCTGTAATACGATTTGTTTATGAAGTCACGCTTTCAGAAGAACTGGAAGCACTTTGTAGATTAAAAATGAAAACCTTGGGGGCAGTTAGGTGGTGAAGTGGATAGAGCCCTGGCCTTGGAATCAGGAGACCTGAGTTCAAATCCAGCCTCAGGCTCTTGCTAGCTATATGACTCTGGGCAAGTCACTTAACCCCAATTTCCACCCAAAAAGAAAAAAAAAAGAAAAGAAAACCTGCTGGAGGTAATTTGTTGAAAATGCAGTAAGGCTAAGGATCAAGTTTGGATTTCAGTCTGGACTTCCTCAAAATTTTACTCTGAGAGCCTATGTAAATCATCTGTGAAATGGAATAAAAGTATTATCCTATCGCCTGGGGCACTCAGAACATAATGGAACTTTCTTTAAATTATATTGTTCTTAGAAGATATTTGGGATATTAAAATTTCAACATCCTAGGAGGCACATAGAAGTAGGTAGGTAGATACATGCTTTCACGTATACATACATCCGTGCATGCATACATACGTATGTTTGTGTTTGTATCAGAGACAGTTTAGTTACATAGCAAACACATTTTATCAGCAAGAATTATTAGATTCAGACATACCCAGGTGGCAAATCTGCCATGGGTCCAGGTATAGACCCTGTTTTCCTAATGCTCAGATCATTATAGTTTGTACTAACCAGTCTCTAAGCTGTGTAGGATCACTTTTCCCCCCCAAGGCCTCAGGCCTTGACTGCTGTTATTGGAATCTTTGCTCCAATATTCTTCTGAAACTTTTTATTCAGCAAGCTACCCTGAATTCTGCTTTCAGCCTATCAGCTCCAAATCGTTCCTATTTCCAGAAAAAAAAAGTCAGGGGGAATGGGAAAGATATAAAGTCTGGATTTCCTTACTGTTAAGGGCATGACAGTATAGTAACATCTCTCTCTTTTTTTGTTTTGTTTTTTCCATTTCAGACATGATAGATTGTATTTCTGTAAGCCTGGGTCCTGGTAGAAGGGAATGTAATGAGGGCTGAAAGGATGGTTGTAATCCTATTGAGCAGGATTTAACCAGAAGAGGAAGAAGGCAGGGTTTATTTACAGTGTTGATAGAAAGCAGAGAGAAAGAGCCATGTTCTAGTTTCCCAGATCCCTTGGAACTTCCCCAGGTTGAGAAACATTTAAGGGTTCACTGAAAGGGTAAAGGAATGGAACTAGGAATATCCGATGTTGCTGATTTTATTTTGTTGTGATTGGGGACTGAATGAATTGTACTTCAGGAAAATGTCAAAATCTTCTTTTCTTTTTCTTAAGAAAATCCCCTTGTAGAGTTAGCTAGTTAGGCACCCTAGAATCCATAAAAATCATAGATTTGTTAACATCATCAACATGTTCATTTTTTTCAGCTCCATGTTCATGCATGTCTTTTAACCCGGAAACAAGAAGACTGTCCATAGGTCTAGACAATGGTACAATCTCAGTAAGTACATATAAATAAGATTTCTGGTTGCACTACTTCCCTTCCTGTGAAGTATATATTTTATATATTTATTGTGATGGGAATTATTTATTAGATTTTTTTCCCCTTCAAATTAACAGATTAATTTTCCTGCTTATGAAAGTGGAAATTGCAGTGTAGCAAATTGTAGTTCAGAAGGGTATTATGTGTGTAGGCTGAGTTGTAATCAGTCTTTCTTTAAATGCTGGCTAGGTTTCAACTTGACTTACTCACCGTGTACATGCTAGTTAGGATTAGGGGCATTATTAGGCAAATGAGTGAACTGCATGAATCTGTATATTAGTTAGAGCAAGCTGTGAGCCTAGCAGCTTTGATCAGATTGTTAATCATGGTGTCATAAGCTTCTCCCCACCAGCAAATGCATGTAAGGCAAATTTCTCCCTTAGATCTGCATGTCTGATCTTGACTTTGATACTCTGGGTTCTCCCCTTTTCCCTCCTTCTTTCTGTTTCTCTTTGCCTCTCAACTCCCTAAGGCATGTGAATAGACAACTGTTTGCATAGAAATCACAGAAACTTGGTCTGTCAGCTCAGTCCAGGAGGAATACTTGGCATGTCATTTAGGTTTTGTGGAAACTCTTTTAAAAGGTGCTTATCTTATGCATCTGGGAAAGTGCACCAAGTCCTAGCTGTGTTAGAGATACGTAGTAAATAGAGATAACGTAGTAAAAATATTTGATTCAATACTCAGAACAACACGCAATTGCAAGACTGTAGAAAATTGGGAATACGCCCTAGATTTTGTTGCTGCACTAGGTTTTATCTCAACAATCAACAGATGTTTGAAGTTATGTAGGATGGGTTCTTTGGGTGTTGTAAAGATCAGTCTATCTTCAAGAAGCTTATATAACTAAGACATTTTCAAAGCTGTACTATTGATGACACAAATCCTTGTCTGTTTCAAGTCTCTACAGGACATTTTTCCCCCAAAGACAGGGACAGTAATTGGATTCTTGAACAGAAATGCTTACGAAAAAGGAAACATAAGAAAAGAGTGAGTTCAGCATGAGAATGGGTAGTCTTTAAAATACTTTCATAGTGATGACTGTGTGTATATAAACACATAGATGGATTTTTCTACCATTCAAGCCGATATAGAAGGATGTGGATTGCTGATGAAATGGACCTTGAAAGCAAGGAAAGTCAGAAGAATTGTTAGTGGAGAGAGATTCCTAGCCATTAGGTAAAAATGGAGAAAACATACTAGACTCCTTTTTTTTAAAAATGGTGCTTAATGTGTTGCTGTAAGCAAATTGCTTTTACTATACATAGAAAGTCTTCAATCAATTGGTTTTGATGTACCAGTCAGTCTTTAAGACAAGTAGGTCGGTCACCAACTGGAAGCCATCAACCTAATTAATCAGTCAATCAACAAGTATTTATTAAGTTCCTACTGTGTGCCAGTTCTATTGCTAAGTACTCAGAGATACAAAGACAAAAATAAAACTATTCCTACCCTCAACCTGCTTACATTCTATCATGGCAGAAAACTTGCACCTATGTACAAAACAAATACTAGATGACAGAGGGGAGATGGAAGCCTGTGTGTTGGGAACATCCAGAAAAGCGTGTTTGGCTAGACTCAAAAGCACATGAAGAAGAGTAGTATGTAAAAGACTGGAGAGATAGATTGCATCCTTCCTTGTATCCTGTCAGCATTTTTTGTAGTGCAATGGAAATAGGAGTGCAAGTCTGCTCCCATTCACCTCAAGGAAATGGTTACTAGCCCTTCTGAAGACACCTTTGACTCCTTTAGCAAAATTTTGCCTAAAAATGTCTTATTTGTTGCTGCAGAATTTATATCACTACACCTTTTCTCAACTATGTAATTATAACATGAATAAAGAAACACGAGGAGACTAGCCCATTGCCTTCAGTTTCATAATTTGTTGCTATTCAGTAATTATTAGGCACTTACAATGTCAGAATCTAGAGAGCATAGATAGTGCTCACAACAAAATGCCTGTTCTCTGGGAGTTTAACTCTTTAAGAGATCTGCACTTATTAGGGAGATGGATGACACGAGAAATTCTCTTTAAAGGACATTTGTACTCTGTTCCATAAGTCGGGTATATAGGTATTAGAGGTAAATAACCACACTCCTTATTTCATTTAAAACAAAGAAATTAAAACAATTGTTCCCTCTAAACAAAGGAAGGGCTGCCATGACATCAGTTTCAATTCACTATTTATTTTTTTGCTCTTTGAACAGCTGTTGTGTGTTTGAATAGATCAAGAGAACCTCAGGAGTTAGTGTCTCTAATCTTCCCATATCGGTGATGCTTTTTTAGATAGTTTTCAGGCTCTGGTAAGGATAAGCTTGAAATAATTCTGGAGCTTATGCTAAACTTCCAGGACCATTTGTTTTTGTAACCTGCATTCTTGGCCTTTTCACTGGTAATGAGGATCTTTGCCAGAGCTTCAAAGTAGAGAAAAGACAGAAATCAAAAGCCAAAGCTATTTATCATCATTCTTGGTGAAAGGTTTGATAAGAGAAGGAGTTGAACCATTTTAAAATATAAGGATCATTGTATGTGTGAATTTAATTCATTTGTGTTAATCTTCTTGCTTGTAATTACTAGGAAGTTAATTTGTCATAAGTATATATTTAGGTCTGCTAAAATTTCCTAACAGACCTTTGTTCTTACTCAAAAATATTTTCTAGAATTGGGCAACTTTACTAGGGTAAGCCAGTTTTTCTGGCAGCTTGTCCCATCTTTAGCTGAATTCATGTTCAGCAATCTTTTCAGAATCTTTTACTGCTGAAAGCTAATGATTCCAATAGTTTATTTTCATGTTAAAGTTGTTTCTTTTTATAGCATGCATTTTAGGCATTCTAATGATTGACGTATTATTGGGTGCCCATTCTCTGTGCAGGGCACTATCCGAGGTTTCTTGGAGCATGAAAAGAAGTTTGCTGCTTCTCTAGGTTAACTATTTATTTAGCCTGTGCGGCAGTTTAACTTTTCATACATCCTTGCCTTGTCTCCCAATTAAACTTCAAATTACGTCATAGCCCTTAAACCGTTTTCATTGTAATCACTGTCAGAGAAATTGGTTTCCACCGTCTCTAAGTTTATGGACTAATTGGGGAGACAAGGCACGCACATGTGAAAAGTTAGATAGTAGTCAACATTAACATCAGATGCATGAGATGTCACACAACAGTCCATGATTAAATGCCTAGTGAGTAGTGGTAATAGTAATGACAGCCCATGTTTATCCAAGACTTTTTGATTTGCAAAGCACTTTCCTTGCATATAATAATCTGGTGATCTGGGTAAGTTAGTGGATTTTTATCTCCATTGTGCACATGAGAATTCTTTAAATTTTATTAGTCCCATGTCCTCCACTGGAGCTTCCGTTTTGTGAAGGAGGAACGGGCCAGCCTGCCTTCACTCCTGTCTGAGTCCCTGCCTGATTTTCCAGATCATCCTCCCATCCAAGTACTTTTATCCACCCCTACACCCCCTCCATCTTTTAGCTCCCCCTTTTGTGTTATCTTCATCCATTAAAATGTAAGCTACTTGAGGACAGACATTTTAAATTGCATTTGTATCCTTAGTGCTTAGTATAATATTTGACACATAGTAATACGATAAATATTAATAAATGATTGTTTCCATCCCTCCTATTGGACTTTTGGACTTTTATCCTAGGAGCAATGAGGAGCTACTGAAAATTTAAAGAAGGGAAGGGACATTAAACCAGTACTTTATGGTGATTAATTGGCAGCTAATGAGTAATATGAAATGGAAAGAGAGGGACAAAAAGAAAGGAGAATAATTTGAACCTGTTATAATCTGGTTGTAGTCTGATAAGGGCCTGAATTTGTAATGGAAAGAGGAAGATAGAATTAGGTATAGATTAGATACATGTGCAAGAACTATTAGAATGAAAGAATCTTCCAGACTTGGTGGGATGGGCTGCAATAAAGAAATAATAACAATAAGTTTTGAGTCTGAATGATTAGGAGGACAGTGTTTACCATTAATAAAAAACAGCCACTTTGATGGTAGAAAATTATGAACTTAGTTTTAGATGTATTAAGTTTGAAGTAACAGCAAGACAGCCAAGTGGAAATTTCCAGCTGCTATTTGTGTGTTTGTGTGTGCTCGAGTGTGTAACAATAGTTAAAGTCTTAGCAGTAGATGATGTCTCTAGAAGAGACTGTGTAGAAAGTGGAGAGCCAGAGGACCAAGAACTGAACCTTTGGGGAAAGGCCACCTTTATAGGCAATAGGTAAAAGAACTTACTAAAAAATTAGTGGCAGAGATGGAGGAGTAGGAAGAGTATCAGAATAGTATAATGTCATAGAAACCAAGAAAAATAAATGGAAGGAGTTGGGGATGGGCCTTTTCATCTGAAGTTGCGGAGACATCAGGGAGAATGAGAGCTGAGAATTTGGTGAGTAGGAGGTCATTCAAAGGGTGAAGAGCAGCGTCTCAGCAATACTGTGGAGGGGATCCCTCCCTCAATTTTTGCATCAAACCAGATGATTTATAAGATCCGTTTTAGTTCTTTTATTTCAATACCTCTTAGAACATAAAACTTCAGTGGAACCATGAGAGCAGAAACTAGGCTGTGGAGGTAATCCAAAACTTAGACTTAAGTACCACAAGCGTCCATGATTTCATCAATGTGGGGGACACTCTCCAATGATACAAATCACCACCGTTCTCCACTTTTGTTCGCAATGTTCAAGAGCTGCTATAGTCAGAAGTGTTAGTGACCTGGTGGTGGCCAGCCTTCTGGTGCTGGGTGGATCTCTCCGAACAGAGGTTGGCTGGTCCTCAGGGAGGAGATACACAGTCTGTCCCTAGGTGTATATGGAAGCCTTTCCAGCTTGGTAGGACCTACTACATTCCAAAGTCAGCTTATATTCTGAATGCATATCCTTTAATAAACCAGGCTTACCTTTGCCCCATGATGAAATGTGGACATAAGACTTTAGTGGAAGAA